AGCGAGGGAAAGGGGGGGGGCAAAATCGAGATGAAGAGCAATAGTGGGAGGATAATAGTTGTATATCATTGGGAATTACGAGTCTACTAGGCCCACATTAACGGCATCCGTTGTTTGCTATGAGCTAATCAGTTCTCATACCAAGAGTGTTTTGTAAATATTTGTCTGGACGCCCACGCTCAGTCACACCACTTTCAGCTTTTCATTATTTTCTTTGGGGGGTTTTTCTACAGGAGAATAAATGGAAACACGACCCCACGGCTTCCAATGAGGCATTAGCACAACTACAACGAGATCAAACTATGCAGGTAATTCACTAGTTCTAACCACGATATGCCTGTTGACTCTGATCGGTGACATGACAAAATGCGCTAAACACTAGATTTGAAAGTAAACGATAAAAGACGAATAAAAAACTCGTCTGTATTGTTCCCATGTGTTTCTTATTGCAGATCAGATTATGTGCCCAAGTCTGATGGTACATTGAGCAGCATAAGCATTTAAATTATCTTAAATTAAAGATAAACGGACATGAACTTACACAAAACCGGAGCAACTATGAATTGATAGTTTTTTCTCACCTAGCACCTAGCACCTTTTATCATGGAGATATTCTCATATTATAGAACGCAGATTTATTTTACTATGACTGAGTTCAATGTCTCATAAAATACTTCTTTGATTTATGTAAAACTTTTTTACCTATCTATCACCACCATTTCAAAGCAGAAGGTAACAAGAGTAAGCCACTGCCAAAGTTAAACAATGAGTCACTGTGAGTGAGGTAGAGAGCAGCTGTCTTCACTGATTAAATGAAAGTACGAGTTTTAATTGCAAAATTTCTTTTATTTAGCCTGTGCCCAGCACTGTCCTGGTCTTCCTCTTGCTCGCTTCTCTTTTGGTGCCCAGGCCCACGCTGCGATGGACGTTTACATAAACTTATTATCTTGACCCAATAAATGGTCTTTTCTTCCCAAATTTGTCAGACAGCTGAATGCAAGACCCCGACAAACGTCAGACTGCAAATGTCGATTGTCGGAGTCTTATAATATTCCTTGATCAAAGTCTTAGGACAGACCACCTGTTTTGCGTGTTACTGACCTTTGCAGCGAAAATATAATACTTGCAACAAGCTCTTTAGGCATATTTTTATAAAGTAGATTGCTTTCAAGTTTGTCAATTTAACGTCTGTTTAATCGAATGCAAAAGTGCTTTCTAAAGTTAAATCGATTTTTTAAAAACAAACGATAATGCTTCTTACCCTGTATCTGTTGTTCTTCTTACAACAAAAAAAAAAGATATCAGTATATATAAAGTGGTACTGATAAGCTGATATTATTGTAATTGTTTTCTTCATCAGCAAGGCGGCGGGGGTCCCCTTGCGGAGATTGAAAGCAAACTGAACGAGCTTCGAGAGTTCATGAAGCTGCAACAGCAACGTCTCAAAGAAAGAGACCAAAAGGAGATTGTGGCCAAGCAGTGGAAGGCTGTAGCCCTCATCCTCGATCGCATCTTCTTTATTATCTATCTGTGCATCATCACAGCTTCACTGTGTTACACTCTGCCCGTTCTCACCTCGGTCAGGTCGCATTACAATTCGACATTGCTTGACAAGGCACGAGGGATAAACACCACCGCCGCATAGTAGCAGTTACAGAAGTTTTTGGTAGTGGCGCCGAAGTCACTAATGTGCTTGTTGTTCTTGTGGGGTATTTCCATGAAAACGTGAAGATGATTCTGACAAAAGTGATGTTCTCAGTGTCAGGAAGAGTGATACTGATGGCGTGTTGTTATTGATGATGATGATCATGATGATGATGACGATGATGATGATGGTGATGATGATGATGATGATGATGATGATGATGATGATGATGATGATGATGATGATGATGATGATGATGATGATGATGATTCAAGAGAAAGCATAGTCTGAGATAAATGATTGATTTGGGAGAGCTGTGGTTTTAAAGCACGGTAGCTTATTAAGCAATGCTACCAAATCAGATCTTCCTGAAGCAATTCATGTTTGATTGTGTCATGAGCGAAAGAATCTGTATACGTGTCAGAAAGATATCCTATGTGATTCACCTGCCTTGCACCATGCTCCAATAAAATCATATGTTGCATTCTTTACGTGATGTCTGAAATCATGCACGTGAATTTTACAAAGATTCCTCCTCAATAACTGATGTTTTACAATATTTCCATCTGTTTGAGCTGTTCTGGCGGCTCCAAGAGTTATGGATCAAGGCAGGTATCACAAGCTGTTACTTTGGGTTGTAATGCTATTTATTGATGCTTACGGGGTAATTATCCTTGCTGATTTCAGCGCGTATTTGTGTTTTATTAACGAGTATTTCTAACTTTCTGTATGCAATGTTATCTCAACTGGTAATATACTTAAATAAGAGGAGAGAGTCTCCGGCTTTGAACCACCTAAAGGCGTTCCTGAGAATGAGATGTCTGAGGAGTTTTATGGTCTCCCCCCCCCCTCCCCCGCTTATCGACGAGAACATTTGCCTTCGGTTATTCAAGGGATCATCATAAAACGTAACCTTTTTTATTTTATGACAAGTGTAGAATCGAAATTCTGGTTTCTGGCTGAATGAAAGTGAGAGAAACTGCTACTAGAAGAGTGATGATTTCTCATTATCTGGTTTGATGGAAAATAATTCAATATCCGACTAAGGGTAAAAGCTGATTTTTGTTTTTCTTATGTATTCGCATTTATTATGCAAAAGTGTTCTTCAATTACATCATCTAGAATTTTAGAAAGTGGATATTATTCTGTGAAGTGTTGAACCCATTATACGTACAGACGCACTCCTCACCTTCGACTTTGTTACATGTGTGCGGTGTGTAGTGGATGTGGGGCGGCGCAAAGAGATCACCTAGAGTGTGTGTACACCATCCAACCTTTTCCAAGTTGAATAGTCCGATAATATAATACTATGTGTCATGCCTTGACGTCATTTAATATCAAAGCTAACATGAGCAGTGGCTGTTGTGATAGACTTGGATGTCGAATGACGTAGGCACACATTTCTGTCTCGGATAGTGTGGATCGTGTGTACATCCTTTGAAGGATTCTGATAGTTTTGCACGTGTTGTTTGTTTGTGTAAGTTCTAGAAGCTTTTCACCGGCTTTGCAGCCCATCACTTTCCTTGTGTATTTAAAGCGTGAAATGTGTGTTCTTCAATGCCGAACCTTGTTCGTGAAAACATCGACATAAATTGCAGTCCTTTTCTTGGCCACGATGTTACTGTGGTAATGATAATTTGTTACAGTTACTGCAAGTGTCATAAGATATACATCGATTTTTTGAGAGAGAAAAATGTAATATTGTATTGTCACACAATATTTTCATGCATCGACACCTATTCCTACCAAATTCACACTTATCTTTTTTTTCTTTTCTTACCCAATCAGCAAACTTTGGTTGTAATCTGCAAAGGTGAAGGCTTGTCTCGCCTATTTTATTACTCAACTAATAAACAAGAGACCTATAGGGCCAAGCATGTTGTATAGTTGACAAAGGAGCAAAGTGTTTCATTCAAATAATATCACCTGGGAGTTTTTCTCTATCCAACTTCATATGTCTTTTATCTGTAACCTTCACCAGAGTTTCCTGCATAGATTGAAAACGTTTGCTTCAGCACTAAACAGGTGACCTATATTTTAACCAGAATCTTTTTTGTTGTTTCTATCGTAACAGTTGCATCTTCGCAATCTAAATGAGTTTCACACGAAATTAAAATACTCCGTTCCCTCACATCTAACACTCAAACTCTCTTCTTACATTTTACAGCGAAACATCTTGTGAATTCCTCTTAACTCCTGTGAATTTTTTATTCGCATTTCAAAGTGGTCAGCAATTGCTTGTCTCTGGAAATGTCAAGATACACCTGCTGTTTGGTACCATAGAAACACGCTGTCTTGATTTGTGCACCTGTCGATAATGTTAGCTATATATAGAGCGGATTGTTGCAGAGTCAGCTGATATTTTCTAGCTCCCCTTTCCCAGTCTTTTGTCAACCGTCTTGTCATTTATTCAATTCTGAGGGCACTGTCCACTTTTTATTTCTGTTTCTCTAACTTTTAGTCTATGTGACGATGTGCTGACAGAAAGTCAAACATACGCTGAAAATTACATACAGACTTAGCACAGAAACAGATTATTATGCTTTAAAACGTAACGCCATTGCTAAACACATATTAGACCATTTTGACACCATAGTAATTTGGTATGTCCCATGATGTTGGGGGAATAGAGAGAAAAATGTATCTTAAAAGACCTCCCCACCCAAAAAAAAATTACAGTTAAAAAAAAAAAAAGAAAAAAAAAGAAAAATTCAGAATCACTTTAGCATTTGAACATCGACCGTTCATGTTTTGGCTACGCCTATATCGGACTGTGCCCTCGTCTCTGGCTCATGTTTCCAGTCTGTTGGCTTTGGCCAGCAACTTAAGACTGTTACTAGTCTTCCCTTTTCAGAGTCTGTGGTGGAGCATTTGGCGCTTCTCCACAGCAGGCAGAAGACCCGAGTTCGATTCCCATGCGGGTAGAATTTTTATCTTGCGTCTTCGTCTGTCTGCTGTACCGCTGTGAGCACGGGTTTACCCTAAGACGCAGGGTAGAGGCAGCCTGCCTTCTCAGTGATCCAAAAAGGTGTCGATGGAGGTATAAAACTTTTACAATTTCAATTTTTGCATTATTTTCAACTTTCAGTCAAATACAAAGGGTAGGATCCAAGACTTTTTGACTGACCATTTTACCATGAATATCTGTTAACATTCGGGGATCGACATGATTAGTTCTTGTGCGTTCTTTAAAGTTTGATATTCCTGAATATGTTCTGATTTAGCAGCTCATAGCTAGTGAGTCAGGGAGTTCCTACCCCTTGAACCCCAAATCATACGCACATATACACACATGCACTCATCTTCTTCCCAAAAGAAGATCCTTCCCACGTGGAAAACCCTTTACTTTTAACCACTCTTCTTCCTTTTCACATGTTATTCATGGCAGGCAAAGCGTGCACCATTATAACTGCATACAACCAAATGGTGCAAGATGCTTACCTTTTTTGGAAGGAAGTGAATTTTCATGGAATATTTGGAATCCTGTATTTTGATTTTGATTCAATGAAAATAAAACATAAAAAAACGAAGGTCCTTATATTTCTTGTTGTTTTGCTTTTGTCTTAACCCAGAATGCTCGTGTTTAAAATTACATGTAAACATCGTGGTTTAAGGTTAAGGAAACTCTTTTGAAAAAAATATGACAAAAAATCAATGGGACATTATGCATGGCCTGCAGGAATCTCGTCCAAAGACCAGTGCATGGAAAAACGCTTCATTACATCTCCCTCACAAATATACCATTTCATAAATATAAGTTAAAGCCTCTCTAAATTGCAAATTGTGTGGGGTGCCTGACTATATTCAACACGTTTTCTTTTCGTATGTGAAGATAACACTCCCTTCGAAGGAAATAGACAGGATGTCAATTTGTATTATGAATTTGGGTGAGCACATCATGATGCTAGGAGGCGACTCTGGTTGACTTGCGCCCACAAAACGATACCTCAAAATTACGCCGTTTTATCTAATCAGTACATAATTATGAGAAATTTGACGTAAAAAAATTTTAGTTTCACATCATGCCAAGCTTTTTCGAATGCAGTTCTTTGTGTATCTTGATAACAATTGCGAATAATCTTATGATTTTAATAGAGCAGATAGAACATTTGGCTTCTGACCTCATGTAACTGAAAACAGCCAATAATCTCAGATAGAGCTTTGTATTCTTTAACGCATAAACTTGGCTAAAGTGGTAGGGAAGTCAACCTATCCAAATATAATTTTGCCAAAATAAGGAACATTACAGAACTTTACAAAATCGCTGTTACTAGAAGCCGGATCTCCCAAAGAAAAGCCTTAGGATCCTGGAAGTGCAGCCAAAATCACTTTATTTGTAAGAACACTATATTGACAATTCCCCCAATGCTCAAATGTTGTGTTCAAACTTAAGCAACATGATTTGTGCAATCACTCTGGCCAGGTTAGGGCACTTAACATTTTAAAGTAACTCAAGTAATTTATTTTCTTACCAACACTTAAGAGATAGGGCCCATGACGTGTACGCAGCTTCACATTCTGGACTCCCAACGTCAGGAGAGTGGAAAAGAAATATGTGCTTCCCCTTTCACACAAGTTTTATTCCTTTCCCAGTCCTTTGGGAAGATGAATAATCAAACACTAAAACATAGCAATAACCCTTATGTTT